AAAGGCATTGCTGGTTACAGCAATATTGTGACAATCACAATAGACATGCTGCCACACTCTGGTTGCCAATCTCACAAAGCCATTATTTTAGCCAATGGCTGAACAGAAAACTTGGTGCTCTACTCTGGCAATGTGGCATGCTTTCATTGGGCATATAACCAGTACAGTGAAGTCAATACTTCATGGCGTGAATTATAATCACATTTCATACAGCATCTTGTCAATAAAGAAAAAATGACTGGACAGTTAACATGCAGTTTGGGACACAAAACATTGAGAGTAATATTGAAAAACATCTCTAATACACTGTGTGTATTCAATAGACTTAAAGACATTGTGTAACAGCAGTTGTGATGAACCTTCACGTCCCATAAAAGCAGAAAATTTCTTGTACTGTTGAGCAACTATCAACTTATGAAGACTCTATAGCACACAGTGAGTTACATAGTTAGCTGGCTGGTTAAACAGTTACAGTTGCCTAATTAATTTGATGTTGACTTTTCTCATACAAGCATACCTGGGAAAGCAGATAAAATTGCACTTCAGTTGGGTGAGTAATTTCACGATCAACCACAGTACCAACTGGAACATTCCTATTTTCCCCTTCTGCATCCTCATCTCTTGGAAAGAATCGGGTGTGGTGACCTTTCACCACCACCAGGAATGTCACTTTAGGTTCATAACCTTCCTCCACAGAAGAACAAGCACATCGAATTGCACTCAATTCACTTTTCAAAACCTGTTTAATGTAATACATATATTAGTTTTACGTTTTGCTGTGTGACAATGCTTTCTGGTTTTAACATCTTGAGGACCAGCCACATTTTAAGAAAACAGTTGCTTACAGAAAATAGTTAACTGCAAAACTAAACCACATACCTGATGGACTTGAAACGATTCTGACGATGGTGTATGCTGTACACAACTATTAGGCTTATTTTGGACTCTGTCCATCATCTGGTATTCATTCATTCATCAGTAATCTGTCAGACGACAGGTTCACAGCCTCTTCCAAAACAGTTTCTCCACTTAATGCGATCTTCTGTTTGCAATATTATATTTAAGCATCCTGTTGCACTCCATACGATAAATGATATAAACTCCGTCTCAAGTGCAAACAATATATTTTGTGTCTTTGATCTTGCTCCCCTACACTACATGTTTCGGCCTCAGACGGCCATCATCAGGTGTATAACACTCACGTTGCTGTCACACTGCACCCAGCCCAAAATTTAACATTTAAAACACTTTCCTTGTTATTATCAACATCTACTTCGTTGATATCTGTCTGGATGTAAATTATTTTACACACGTTAATTTTGACGTACCTGTAGTAGCACTATAAAATCTACACATTACTACACACGTAGTAAAGAATAACAGCGGCACGCACACAGGAAGACTACACAGGATAACACCTATACAGTGTGGAAACAAGAACTAGCCGCTGCAGCACTTTAGACATAGGGCGAGTAACCCTAACAATTTTAAATTTAAAATTTAGAGAAAAATTTTAAAGGATTTTAAAATTAGAACTAAAGATTTTATAGTGCTACTACAGGAACGTCAAAATTAACGTGTGTAAAATAATCTACAATCCAGACAGATATCAACGAAGTAGATGTTGATAATAACAAGGAAAGTGTTTTAAATGTTAAATTTTGGGCTGAGTGCAGTGTGACAGCGACGTGAGTGTTATACACCTGATGATGGCCGTCTGAGGCCGAAACATGTAGTGTAGGTGAACAAGATCAAGGACACATAATATACTGTTTGCACTTGGGACGGAATTTGTATCATTATATCATTTATCGATCTTCTGTTTTTGGAAAGAGACTATCCAGGAAAAGTGATAATGTGGTAGTTTTTCCATTTGCTTTCCACATCGCAGTACAACAGCCGTTCAAACCACTCTGGTCACACCTGTTGCTATACGAACTTGAACCATCTCGAGCATCATTTTCTCAGTGCTTCAGGTCGCCACTGGTGACGTGAGTGTTATACACCTGATGATGGCCGTCTGAGGCCGAAACATGTAGTGTAGGTGAACAAGATCAAGGACACATAATATACTGTTTGCACTTGGGACGGAATTTGTATCATTATATCATTTATCGATCTTCTGTTTTTGGAAAGAGACTATCCAGGAAAAGTGATAATGTGGTAGTTTTTCCATTTGCTTTCCACATCGCAGTACAACAGCCGTTCAAACCACTCTGGTCACACCTGTTGCTATACGAACTTGAACCACCTCGAGCATCATTTTCTCAGTGCTTCAAGTCGCCGCTGATGACGCTGCTTCCGGCATCAGTTTTCGGTGTCTCTCTTCGTCTGATGCCTACCCTTTGACCTGTCCAGTAAGGGAGGCCCTGCCAGTAGCTACACTACCGCTGGTATAGCTCTCAGGGTCCTTGGCATACTCAAACACCCTCACCACGATAAGGTGGAGCCACCAACGAGGGGTATATCTGGTATATAGAAGACAAAAACCACAAAGTTTCGGAGACTGGATCTCTCTCCGTCCTCAGGTGGATGGGGCAGGATAAACCTACTCAGTTGGGTCCGTCAGAGACCCAGTGATTGAGACGGGAATTTGGTTGTAGGCTCTTACCAGGTCGATCTTGGAGAAGACGGAACAACCGAAAAGCTGGTGGGAGTTTCATGGATATGCTGGATGAGGTAGCGGTCGAGGATGGTCCAGGCATTTAAAGCTCTGTAGTCGCCACAGGGATGCCAACCATTGTCCTTCTTGAGTACAATGTGTAGTGCGGAAGACCAGGAACTCTCTGAGCAGCGAGCTGTGCCATCCCATAACATGGTGTCAAACTCAGCTTTGGTGATAGGGAGTCGGTCTGGTGCCAGTCGCTGGGGTTGGCAGGTGACTGGCGGGCCAGGTATAGTCGGGATTTGATGCACAGTGTTGTGGCGCACTTCGCGCTGGGTTCCGGCTGGGTGGGTGAGGTCCAGGAATTTGACGAGTAGGCTGTCGACTGATGTGCCGCTACTAATGGTCTTGACGCTGGGAATCAGTGAGTTGGCTGCCTGCGCCGGGGAAGACAACGTGAGACCGTCCAGTAGGCGGTTCTTTTGGCAGTCCACCAGGAGGCTGAAATGAGAGAGGAAGCTGGCCCTGATGAGCGGCCCAGCAATGCCGGCCACCATCAATCGCCATGTGAAAACCCGACGCAGTCCCAGGCATTCTTCTCAAGGGAACTCAACCTGGCCACATGTCACCACATGTCAGGGGAACATACAGCAGACATTTTGGACTACATAACCACATAGTTTGTCAACAGTCTTATGCAAATAACACTGAAACTTGACACTTGGGGATACATGTTTTGCACCACCAGTCTCTGATATGTTAAAACTGGAATGCCCAAATATATACTACTGAAAACAACATTCCAACATGTACAGTGTGAAGCACAAGGGACATAATGTTGTGGTGCTGAGTCAGTGCATGGGAGAGGGGGGTCACATGCCAGCATGAGCACAGCTTTCATTTACTGAAGTTTCCTCTCATGTTAACAAAATGGAGTGTGCCTCATTTCTTGCATATGCATTCAACTTTCTAGAAATATAACATGTATCAAATGTTAGTTACAAGGCAAAGAGGAGGCAGATCTGTTGAGTGTCACTGTAAGCCAGAAGCTGCAGACAGACATTGTGAATGGTGAAACAGTGTGTATAGTGCAGGTTGCAGTGATAAGATGGAACAGAATAGTGCAGCAGTGTACAATGACAAAGTAGTTAACAAGAATGTTAGTGAAACAATAACTGCTCCAAAATAAGATAAACATTACAACTGGTGTCTTAATTGGGATGGACGACGGATCCTGCTCTGCAGGTGGTTTTGGAGCAGTGAAATAAGGAAGAACCAACTGGCAGTGGCTCACTGGTCGCAATACAAAGCCAAGGGCCTAGGTGAGAGGCAAGTAGCTACAATAATCTGCAGTGGCTGTTGACCTGTTGGTCCACCAGACCCTTTCTGAGTTGCCTGAGGATTCATTCGGAGGAAGGGAGCAAATGTGTTTGTCACTGGAGTGAAGGACCATGACCTAAAACAGTACCTCTTTACAGGTGGCAGAGGTCGCTCAATGAAGCCCATAACCAGGCCCCGAAACTAGAGGCTGTGAAGGTGTCAGCTGAGCCTCTGGTGAAGCTGTGGGAGGTAAGGGCTAAAGCCCCCATGACAACATGTTCACTAGTGACAGACTACTACAGGATCTGTATGTTGGTCACTTGAGGAGAGACTGTCTGGCCAGGACTTTGAAAACGAGTAAGGGCTGCTGTGAAGAGGGAACAGTTGATATCATCACCTACTTCACACTCAAAATTATTGACCAAGTGGTGTGATGACAGGCCAACAGCCATGGGCTAGATAGTGGACAAGTTATGCCATAAAACCTTCAACACCCTTCCATCTGTGATTACTGACAGACACACCATCACCACAGGGCTGTCCGAGAGGAAGCCAAGTCAGATGTTCGATCTGTAAAAGGGTGTCGATGGAGGCCCTCCCTGTCTTGAAAGAGGTATTGGTGGAGTTGTACAGAAGTCTCAAAACATCTCCACGCTTTGAGCTGTCAGCTGGTCAGCCAGCTGAGGTACAGGGAAAGAGGAGACCACCAAGAAACAGAGTAACATTCCTTGTACTCCCTCTCCCCTTTGCCATTTCCATCTTTCATGACTGGGGAACACTGAAAACCTTGGTTCATTTCATCTAATTGATAAGTATCTTCGGGCATGTTATACACATTTAAATATGTTGGATAAAGTTGCAGCATTTATACAGGGGGGTCTGTATCAAATATTCCAACCGTTCTTTGCTAGGCAACGTTTTGGTAAACACCGCCTGAAAGCCGGAATAGCAAAAAACAAGCAGAAGTTTGCTTGCTATGCTATGGCTAGCTAAAACTCATTGTCATGTCAACAAATATTCAGCAAAGGTTTCTGTGGATATGATGAATTTTGGAATCACCAGGCATATCTGCTACGATGGATACAGGGGACCATTTGCTTCTATTCAGTCCTCCTGAATTTATACAAGAGGGTTCATTTGTGAATTCAATTCATTAATCTGTAATAGAATTCAGAAGGCAGTTCAGTAGGCAAATATTTATCTGTGAAGTGTTAATCAGGTATGATTCATTACTGAGCAACAACTAGCAAGCAGACACTGAAGACTTTATTTTTGAGTGCTACAGTTAGAGTAATCTACAGAGTGTCACAGTTCGGCAGATAAGTTCGTATGTGTTTCACTATATTCACACTGTCGTTTGGCATTTAACTTTTTTTGTTTGAGTAAATTATTATGATTATCTTTTTCTAACAGCTTCCCCTTCCTTTACTCTCTTATATGCAGCACGATTATTACAAGAGGACAGCTTATCAGTGCATTATATGCTGGCAGTCTGCCTATAGCATTGCACTGAATTAGCTGTATTTGTTACAAATGGTCATGATTCCTAAACCGTAAGCGATGGACCAAAACAGACTGCATTTTTTAGAAACTTGCATTTATTATTTCACTTGTAATATGTCCACATCCACCTATGTGTTTCACTGAGCACATTTCCAAGGTAACAAAGTCAACAACCGAACTTCAGTTACTTAGTAGTATAAATAATTACAAATTGTTATAATTTCTGTTACTTATGGCTTCATTCCATTTGTAACCTCGTATAATGTTCTCAACATTTAAAAATTGGCAGAGGATAATATTAAAATGGAATTCAGAACAACAGGATGTAAAAACGTGGACTGCTTCAACTGCCTCAAGACCCTCAAGACACACTACAAAGATGAACTTTTCCAAACTCCATTATGAATCTCTGAGCGTTACATAAGTATGAAACTCACAGAGCAGCTGAATAACCATCATATTTCAAAGAAGACCTTATTACAATGGAATCAGTACTCACATCAAGATTTCTGTAAGTCAAATTCTGAATATTTCATCACCAAATACAATAACTAACAAGTACAATACTGTGTTTAATTTTAAAAAACAAACCAAGCATGAAAATATTAAGGTAACATTCCTACTGTGACTACGAATAACTCCTCGAAGACATATACTGACCATGGAAGTAAGGCTCCAGACATTCTTAACCTGAGAACTAATGGAGGGATGTGGGATTGATGAAATGGCTTCAATTCCTGTCATCAAGACCACACAACAATAAGCAACAAACTCAATATATTAATTTCTACACTCCATGTTAAGTCCATAATCTTACCTCAGCAAACTGTCCTTCACCTACACCATCTCGAAAAAATAGTATCTTCTCTGGTTTGCTGCCAACCCTTTCATAAAAGAGGAGTAACTGTTCTTTTATAATAGCTCCAATGTCTTCAATGATCTCTTTCCATTGAGGTTGACACATAATGCAGACATTGTATATGAATGCCTGTGGGTCACAGCTGGCAGTTACCTACAGCATTAAAGTAAAGAAATCAGTTGACACAGTCCTGGTATAAGCACACCATACATTTGCATATACTGCATGTATCAGCCTATTGTAACCATCATCAGGTACAAAGAACCTATAAAATTACGCTTCCTTCCATCTGCTGTACCTCCCTACACTGGCCAGTGTTTACACAATGGGAGTGCATTGTACAGGTATGCTGTTTACATAATGCCCATATAATGACAATGAATATTAAAATTTGATATTTTTTAAAGTATTAAAATTAGATTATGTGTTAAGAGGTGTTCGTGTGTGTGTGTGTGTATTCCCTTCCTTTATGCTGTGGTGACCCTTTTGTTTTGTGTTGCCCGATTTTTAGGTCGCGTTCCCCAATGCGCATTCTTGTTTAGGGTGGGTTTCTTCTCATAAGGAATTTATCATCTTTTCCTATAATAGACCAGCAATGATATTCCAGAATAAAACAAAGCAAAGTTAACCTAACTTTCTCAACTCATAAATATTAAAAAATAAATACTCCAAGGTTATTTACAATTCACAGTGTCTATTGTTACCTGAATGACAACTAACATATTTACTCATAAATTTTACACACTTTCTGAACCAAAAACTTATGTTTGAAAATTGTGACATGTACTAGGGGCGTTCAAAAATGATTGACACTAAATGTTTTTTCTTCACAATAACGATTTATTGGAATAAAATACATACAGATTATATTAGAGGTATTCCCCTCCAATGTCTATGCACCTTTGCCATCGTTCTGGCAGTTTCCGTATCTGCACAGCAAACCATTCTTTGGGGGATCCTCGGCGCCACTGCTGGACAACTGCCTGAAGCTTTTTGTTGGAGATGAGCATCTTTCATTGCATCGAATAGAGCATAGTCGCTAGGGGCAAGATCGGGTGAGTATGGCGGATGAGGCAGCACGGTGTTCCCTAGAGCACCCAGGGTGGCAATGGTCTGCCGACTGCCATGTGCCCACACTTTGTCATGTTGGAGAAGAACGCCACTCCCCCATTTTCCACGGAGGCGTTGCTGAATGCATCGGCGCAGTTGGCACAGTGAACTGCAGTACCAATTACTGTCGATGGTTGTACTGGGGGGCAGCTAATTCAACAGAAGGATCCCCTTCTGATCCCAGAACAGTCGCCATTTGCTTCTGGATAAATAGACTTCTTGGGAGGAGGGCTCCCAGTGTGCTTCCACTCCATGGACTGGCGTTTCTTTTCTGGAGTCTCGTGCCAGAACCATGACTAGTTGACAGTGATTAGATGCTCAAAGAACTCCACCAGATCCACGCTAAACAGCTGCAGCAACTGTTGGCATGTCTCCACATGCTTCTGCTTCTGCACAATGGTGAGAGAATGGGGCACCCATTGAGCACAGATCTTTTTCATCTTCAAGTCCTGATGGATGATGGTGTGCAGTGTTCCACATGATAAACCTGTTGCGTTCTCTAGTTCATCGAAAGTGATGAACCTCTTCTCCAGTATCAAGTCAGACACGCGCTGGGTACTGTCTGGTGTGCATGCTTTTGTGACAAAACCTGCACATAGCAGCTGATGCATTTCCTGCACAGCTGTCCACTGGCCCCAGTTGCACTGTACACGTACTTCCTGCATGCTTGGAAGTAGTTATTATTAGTACTGCGCTATGGAGGACTTCCCCCCCCACGGTGACGTGGCGGCAGCGGAGAGCTCTCGCTGCTATGGTAACAGACAGTCAACACTCGAACTTAAAACATGTCAGAATTGGTTTACGAACTTAAAACAAGCGACAATTTTGTCGGAGTTCATTAACTGAAGCGATTATTTAACTGAACACTGAAGTGTGTATTTATTGCGCTGCCCACAAAAATGGACTCACTTCAAATAATGGAACTCCTGCTGAAAAAGATGAGGGCCTGGGGAGAAGAGTTGGATGCAGAAACAAGAGCTACCCGAGCAGGAACGGAATCGGCCGAAGCAAGGGCGAAAGCTATGCGAGAAAATATCGCCACCAGCCACAAGGGGATAGCTGCCGAAACCAAACCAGAAAGAGACACGGAGACAATTGCCTGCCAAGAAATGGAGGCACATCCAGAAGACGAAAAGCCGGCCTCAGTGGACACGAAACCTGCGATGGCACAACAAGAAGAGATCCCCATTGTGATACCGGTCGGAGTGACGATGGCGTGCTGAGAAATGGAGGCACATCTGCAAGAAGTGCTGGCCTCAGCGGACATGAAACCTGAGGCGGTAGAACGAGAGGTACCCGTAAAAGACGCCGAAGTAATGCTGATCGGAGAACCGAAGCAGAAAAAGCGTAGGGAACGAAAGCAGTGAAATATGAAGAATTCGACATGGGAAAATTGTGGACCCAAGAAGTTGACAAGCCGCCGTGCAACAGGGACATGGCGTAGGAGGAACATCTTCAGGGAATCTTCGACCCAAAGAAATTGTGGACCCCAAAAGAAGTTGGCCGTAGCTCGCAGAGGGACGAGCCACCGTGCAAAAGTGGCATGGAAAACACAAACCAACTGGAAAGTGTCCCGCCGTGCAGCAGTGGCACGACGCAGGAGAGATGCCTTCAAGAAGGAAACTACCGTCGACAATTGTATACATCGTCTCTGCAAGCAGCGTTATGACAAGTCTCAACCATTGCGAGGTGCCCGTAGCAGTGTAGAGAAACCAGCAGTGGGCACTGTTGCGCCACAGTCTTGTACCAGCAAGTGGCTGGAAGACCGGGAGGAACGACGACGTCAGCAAGTGCAGACCACACTTCAAGTGATGCTACGTCGACATCAGGAACTTCTCAAGAAAGACATGATCAAGGATTGGACCTTGTGGAGGGGTCAACCCCCTCCGAAACGAAAAAAAAAAAGGGAATAGCACAGAGGAGGAACCGGTAACGTAGAAGCACCGGCCTCCCCAGAGTGAGTGAATGAGCAAGAGAGAAAGTGAAGGATGAATGTGATACAAGTAGATCTTCGGGTACATCAGCAGGAAACCACTCGAGACGAGGTGGTCTTAAGAGGGGAGCGGATGTAACGGACGGAGGATAGTTGCTGCAAGAGGAGTAGCCGAAACAACAGGAGACGCAGCAAACACAGCTTTGGAAGAAAAGGAACGGGGATGCGCCGTTAGGCTATTCGGGACGAACAGCCTTAAGATGGGAGCAGTGTGACGTATTGTGCTATGGAGGACATCCCTCCACCCTCGGTGACCTGGCGGCAACGGAGCGCTCTCACTGCTACGGTAACAGGCAGTCAACACTCTGCCTCTGCCCCTTCCCCCCGCGGTGACGTGGCACGTGACGCCGCTATTGATACGGGCAACAGGCAACAGCGAACGGTATAAAAAGCCGACTGAGCAGTATGCGAGATAGTGTGTGATCAGGAGATCAGGAGTGACACAGTGCGGATCGAAGAATACCGAACACGTGGTTAGAAGATTCGATGTGATAAATTCGCTATATCCAATACAGCGTAAAGTTATTTGTCGCGTTATACATAAAACACGCGGCAGTATATTAAAAAGCTCCCTGTGCCCATGATCACATAATAGCAAAGACACTGGATATATGGATTCTTGCCTGATGGATGCTGCATCATTATGAAATGTTCTTCAAAGAGAGGGTCATGGTTTCGTAAAATACAGAACTGGAACAATTTTACGTGTGCATAATGCATAATGTGGAGCTTCATAACATGTATCCTTCTCCAAGTCAAGGCGGATGAGATGGGCAGGGGATGTAGCACGAATGGGGGGGAGAAGAGGACTGCACATAAGATATTGGTGGGAAAGCCTGAAGGAAAGAGACCACTGGGAAGACCAAGATGTAGATGGGTGGACAATATTAAAATATATCTTAGATAGGAAGGTCGCAGGTTCAAGTCCCGATGAGGTCATTGGATTTTTTCAGTTGACCTAATCCTTCCAGCCACACTAGGCCCTGGTTTCGACTAAGCCTCTAACAGAAATGAGTACCAGGAACATTCTTGGAATGTTCTTGGGAGTAAAGTGCGGCCAACACGTAAGGCTGACAACCTTACTGCCATCTTTGGGCCGACTGTCTAGATAGTGTGGGACCCAGGCCTTCACGGCCTGGTACAGGGATAGCTTTACTTACTTACTTTTTACTTAGATAGGACAGGATTGCATGGATTGTATTAATCTGGCTCAGGATAGGGACCAGTGGAGGGATCTTGTGAACACGGAAATGAACCTTCGGGTTCCATAAAATGCTGGGAAGTTCAGTAGTGGTTACAAAAGTGGCGGCTTCTGAAGAAGGGCTCAGTTCCGTGAGTGAATGCTGTTAGGGGCATGTGGTAGAGTAGCTGGTTGAGGCACTATGCTACAAGTCAGAAGGCTGTGGGTTTGAGTCCTGATGAGCTGTTTTCTTTTTTTTCTGATTTACCCAATCCTTCCAGCCGCACTATGGCCCTCGGGTAAACTCATCCTCTAACAGGAATGAGCACCAGGTATCTCCCTGGGGGTAAAGAGCGGCTGGTGCGTAGAGCTGACAACTTTACCACTATCTGTGAGCCAGTTATCTCGAGAAAATGTGAGAGCCTTGATGTCTCACAACCTTATGGGCCTCCAAGCTCTATTACAGGGATAGCTTTACCTTCATGGTAGTAATGGTAATTAAGAAATTACTGCCTCTGAAACATATTCATACTGATGCAATACTCTTATGGATACATCATTGATAACTCAAAATTAAGAGACTATACTGTACGACCCTTTATAAATGGCTTATCCGATCATGATGCTCAACTCATAGAAATAAATAATATTGACCTTCAGCCCAGTAATCAACAATATCAAACAGTAAGGAAAATCAACGAGCATACNTTTTTTTAAAAACTAGTATAGTCACTATCATAGTGAAGTGACGCAGTTCTAACTCGCATATAGTAATATTATCGTATATAGTGTGATTATATTTACAATATCACCAAGTCTCAAAGCTGAATATCATGGTCGGTGGCGTTCCTTGGGGGAGGCCAAGTTCATCTGGGGCCGCCCTGCGTCCACTGGAGGTGAAACATTCACAACACTGGCCAACCAAAGGAAATAACAAGGACACTGTATTTGTTCTCAGAATAAGAAGCGCAGAAGCACGCTCCACTACTGTAAAAAGTGTGACTTGCGCTATGTATGGTGGACTGCTTCGAGAAGAGAAACACGCAGTGTGAGTTATTGTAAAACTGTGAAGCGACGCAGTTCAAAACTCGCGTACAGTCTGAACAAAATATTATTGCATACAGTGTGATAATATTTACAATTTCACCATGATTCAAGGCTGAAGAAAAAACAACGGGTAAGTCCTTTGGAATTTCATAACATATATAATAAAGATTATATTTTGCAATTCATGACAAAATAATCACAGTTAATTTTCGTCTGTAAAAATTGCTCTTCTGTGTACATGTAGAAAAATTTATTGTCTTTCAGGTTGTTTTTAGTTTTTATTTCTATGTTACATAGAACAGAAAATATCTATTATTTTCTGATGGGTTGCATATTTAATTAATTGGGGTGATTTAAATACCGGCAACAGAGGGCTCCCGGCAATTCAAAAGTCTGTACGTTAAAGGTTAAGAGCAAAAATTCAGTCTTTCCACTCTGGAACCAACTTACTTTTTTTGGCGAAATGTGGGATAGTCTGAAATAAAATCAGTCTCAAAAGAACGTTTCCTTTCCTCCATTGGTAGATCAGAGAGCTTTACTTCTCTTCTGAAAAACCAAAATGAAGGGAATTAGTTTTAAGACTGCAGTCTGCTGGGACATGATGTCACATAATGTGGTAGAGAGAAAACCCAATCCCAGTAAATTTAATAGGGAGACTAGTCTCTCCCAAACTCAGAAAGCAAGTCATGGAAGTCTCTATCTCACTCTCTCTCACACATGCACAGATAAACAGTCTGACAAAAAAGTTTGCGAACTCACCACAGTGTACTTGCCGTGGCAGCAGAGCACAGAAAACTCAGTATGGTTTGATGGCACTGGCATATCAGTGTTTCACAGTTGTGTTGTTGTTGTTGTTGTTGATCTATGGCAGTCTCTTTCAGAGTGTGTTTTGGTGTGCTATTGGGAGAATGTTGGAACGAAGATTAAAAACTTGGCAAGAGTGGAAACAAAATCAGAGAGATGTTAGTGCAAGTTTATGGGGATAACGTTATGAAGGAAAGAGCAGTTTAAAGCAAGCTCTGTTTACATCAGTTCACCCTTGAATCATTTATGTAATAAATCTTTATCATCAGGTACTTTTCCTCAACGCTTAAAATACGCTATAATGAAACCACTTTTTAAAAAAGGAGAGAGAAAATGCATCTCTAATTACAGACCAATATCCATATTGACTTCATTCTCAAAAGTCTTTGAAAAAGTTATGTATAATAGACTACTTGAACACTTAAATTCTAACAACATATTAGTCAAAGAGCAATTTGGATTTAGGAAAG